CCCCCATTTTGGGGGATATTTTTATCCCAAAATTTGAGTTCCAATTTTGGGCGGATATTTATAAAATATTAATTTAAATATTTTATTTAATTAAAAATAATATTATATACAATCTAAAATAATTTTATTTAAATTAAAACAAAATTATTTAATTATTAAAGTATTAATTTAATTAATTTTATTTAATTTAAAAAATATTGCACTACTGTTCACTCTTTCATACCCAACGAACGAAGCGCAGTTCAATTATAGAAGTCGAGCTCAACTTTGTCGACCCTCTCCTTGTCCAGTATGACATTTCCTGTCGCTTACCGAGAAGTAGAAGTTGGACAAACAGGTTTGGAACCCTACACATGCTTAGGGGGAATATTTTAGATGGGTTTGAAGTTGACCCGTCGAACCAGCAGCTGGTGGTGAGCAGACCACTCTTGAGGCTGATGTTGTTCTTGTTTCTGCTGGTAGAGTTCCATTTACTGCTGGACTCCAATGTTCAAAGATAGGGGTTGAAACTGATAAGGCTGGGCGGATCTTAGTGAATGAGCGCTTCGCCACCAATGTTCCAGGTGTATATGCCATTGGTGATGTTATTCCTGGGCCTATGTTGGCTCACAAGGCCGAAGAAGATGGTGTTGCATGTGTGTAATATATTGCTGACAAGGAAGGCCACGTGGACTATGATATGTATGCAGGATCTTTTCTATTTCATAGGGGTCCTTTATTTATTTCATTTACCTGCCCGAGAAATTTAAATATATCGCGAGAAATTAAATAAAAATAAAAATTTGCTGTCTCTGGGATTCAACCCTTAGACCTCATGAAGGTAAGTCAAGTAATGCAACCACCACACAACTCAAGGTTGAGTGCTAGTTATAGTAAAGTTTAATATATATCACATTACATATGGATAAATAAAATTAAATTTAAAAGACAATGTAAATTATATTAAATCAAATTATTAAAATATAAACTTATAATAAATTAAAATATAATAAACTAAATTATATAAAATTAAACGAAAACAATAATTAAAATAACCTATTATATTAAACAAATAGAAAATAATTAAAATAAAATTATAAATAAATATAAAAAATTATAATTATATTATAATAATATATAATGTATTTATTTTATATTATTTTTATATATTCTTATAATTTATTATTTATTAATTTATATTATTGTATATTATTTTGTTTCATTATTTATTTAATTTTATTTTAGTTAACAATCTTTATT